CGGGTTCAGCTAGTATATTATATAAAGTCGAGCAGTATTTATATCAGACATAGGCCAGATGCTAACAAACTGGGACAAAAGTCGTTGTCTATGCTGGCGATGTGGTTCTATTGATCGTTGGGAAATTCCTGCAATCAATTTCAGATCTAATGCAAAAAGCTCTTGTTAAACTACCAAGGAGGGCATGCAGTACTGGGCTAGGCGTAAACCCGTCATCAAATCCATCAGCTCGTCCTAAATTCTCCCTACCAATGACAGAAGCCAAATATCTCGGTGATATTCTCGACCACCATTTAAACTGGAAGAGGAATACTTAGAAGCGCGCGAAGAGAGGCTTAAGCGCACTCTGCTCTTGGAAGAACTCTATATCTTTTTTTTATACCCTACACCACAAGGTGGTCAGGGTATTATGTCTTTGTGCATTTGTTTGTAACAGGCAAAAGGAAACGAGATAGACCCATAGTTCCTTTTGATGATCTGCATAGAATCACATTCTGAGTCGATTTATGCATGTCCGTCCGTCCGTCTGTCCGTCCGTCCGTCCGTCCGTCTGTCCGTCCGTCCGTCCGTCCGTCCGTCTGTCCATGTATTTTTGTAAACAAAGTACAGGTCGCATTTATTGCCCGATCCAGATGAAATTTTGCACAGATCATTTGTTTGGCCCAAGGACGAACCCTATTGAAATTGGAGATAATCGGTCAAAATTTAGATATAGCTCCCATATATATCTTCGTCCGATTTGCCTTTTATTGTGCACCAAACGTGTAATATCAGCCCGAATTGTATGGAATTTTGCACATACAACCAAATTAGGCCTGAAAATATGTATGCCAAATTTGATCGAAATCGGTTCAGATATAGCTATAGCTCCCATATATATTGTTCATCCGATTTGTTATTTTTGTCCACCGCTGCCGTAATATGCACTCAGCAACAACAATATTTAGGGAAATATATCAAATACAGCTCAGAAATACATTTGCAAAATTTTATCGACATCGGTTCAGATTTGGATATAGCTCCCATATATAACTTCGGCCGATTTACCTTTTATTGTGCACCAAACGTCTAATATTTGTCCAAATGGGATGGAATTTGGCACATACGACCGAATTGAGTCTAGAAGCTAGCATGTCAAATTTGGTGAAGATCGGTTCAGATATAGCTATAGCCTCCATATATATTATTCATCCGATTTGTTATATTTGTTACCCACAACCGTAATATGCACTCCGTAACAACGATATTCAGGGAAATATATCAAATACAGCTCAGAAATATCTTTGCCAAATTTTATCATGATCGGTTCAGATTTGGATATAGCTCCAATATATATATTTATCCGATTTCAAATTAATTGTGCACCAAATGGTCAATACAAGTCCGAATTTAAAAGATACAAATGCTTCGGCATGTTTAGTCCTTTGAACTTTAAATTATAATTATAATCATAGCGTGTATGATTGAATTCTCCCATAAAAACTTTTAATTGTTATGTGGAGCTCTACTAAATTAGCAAAGTGGTGTAGGGTATCATAAAGTCGGCCCCGCCCGACTTTAAGACTTTCTTTACTGGTTTTTTCATACATATCTGTACTATTCAAGCTTTCATCTCAACTTAAATAATTATCTACTTACACAACCGAGTATTCAAGTGGAATTGTTCAATTTATTCTCTAAAAGCCAAATTAAACAAAAAATCAAAACGACTTTATAGAATCATACATCTGAAACCACTGTAATCATTTCAATTGATTGATTTCACATCAGGTGGATATCTAATTACATGCACTCACCAAAGGTGTAAAAAATGGTTAGTCACGAAAGTTTTAAGCTACTAAAAATCAATTGCGATAGATTATTATAAGTTCATCGTAATCTCAGTAAAAAATACGACAGCAATAATAATTGGTTATTGTCAACACCGTCGATCGGCTTCTATTGTCTACAGTCTTTAGTATCCAGCACCCGTTTGTGTTATGACCCCCATTCGAATACTTGTGTCTGTTTGGATTTGACCAAATTAAATTTATAACAGCTATTCCCCTTTTTTGGATGCAAACATACGAAAACAGGCCAATCAACTATCAAATGAAGCAACCAAAAAACTATTCGTCGAAGGGGTTATTAGGGGAATTCAAATTATTTTATTTAAATTCTTTCAAGATCACATCTCGCACATAATTGGTCATAAATGACTCGCCACTCTGTTGTTGTAGGAAATGACCAAGCTACCTAAATATTTTTTTTACCAAAACTGAACACTTCTTGCACAACTCTTTCAATGAAACTGGTTCAAAATGCACCAAACATTAAACAAAGACTAACTAATCAATCCAAAACCTTTTGTATTTAGTTGTTCGGTTCAAAAATACTGTGTCAATAAATTGTTATTGTTTTTTTCTGGGGACATTAACAAGCTGTTGTGGAATATTTATTTATTACAAGTATTATAAAAAACAAAAGATTACCATAACAATATTTGTTTGTGTTTTAAAAATGATGTCTCGAGATTTATAACCGTTGATGCAATGATGTTTTCAATAATTTATTGTGCACTAAACAGCTTAGATGTTAAAAGAATTTTTATTAAATTAAATCAGGTAGAAGGGGATTATTTAATTTATTTACGTATTAAATAAAATTAAATATAAGCTATAAGCTTCAGAGGTGCTGAATGTTATTGTTTCGTATCAGTATTTATACCCTACACCGCACTGTGGTCAGGGTATTATGTCCATTACTTTGCCCATTTGTTTGTAACACAGAGAAAGAAGCGAGTTAGACCCATCGTTCCTCTTGATGATCTGCTTAGAATCACATTCTGAGTCGATTTATACATGACCGTCCGTCCGTCTGTAAACTCCTTCTGGTACCTCCCCCACAAATGGTCGAATTTTTCAAAAATAAATATATTTTTTGCACAGAAAGAGAAACGATAATCCGATTTTGCTCCAACTTTGCAAATCCTAATATTTGCATCAGTGCTAGGTCTGGTCCGAAAATGGACAATATCGGTTTACTCCTTCAAGTATCTCACTCACAAATGGTCAACATTTTGAATAATTACAACTCTCATAAAATGTGATTTAAGAGTTCGATTGTCTTCAAATTTCACCCATCCCAATCATTTTATTAGCTAAGGTCTGGTGTTAAGATGGAGTATATCGGTCCACTTCTTCTGGTACCTCCCCCACAAATGCTCGAAATTTAAAAAAATATATATATATTCTGCACAGAAAGGGATGCAATAATCTAATTTTGAAAAACATAACACTCACAGAAAGCGAAATAAGGATCCAACTCTCTTCAAATTTCACACATACAATAATGTTTGCTAATACCAGATCTGCTGTGAAGATGCTATATATCTGCGAACACCTTCTGGTACCTAAACCACAAAGGGACGCAATTTTCAATATTTGTATCTGTCATAAATTGCGAAGCAACTCAGCGATTCTTTACAATTGCTATATCCATCTGATATAATTTATTTTTTATATATAATTATTTTTATATATAATAATATTTATATCATATTTATTTAGGTGGGATACGAAATGGACAATATTGACCGATTCTTTCAAAACCCACTCCATAGAGAGTGAAGAGGGCTGAGGGTATACCTCTATCGGCAAAACCAACCGATACTTTTTTACTTGTTTTATGTTTACGGCCAACGAAACCGTCACACGCTGCCCGAATGTTGCTCTGCGGTATTTTGGCCCACTCCCGGCGCAGCGCTTGCTTGAGGTGATCGACACTTTGGTATTTTTTAGTGCCAACCAGGCACAATAGTCCAACAGATTGGTATCCGGGGATTTTGGGTGGCACATGCTGAGTGCGATGGTGCTGAGTCCTGTTGGAATGTCCAAGGTCTGCGGCCAAAATGTTTGCGTGCCCAATGCTTTAATACAACCTCCAGAAAATTATATTCGACATTTATTCTGATGCCACGGTCGATTAATACGAGCGGAAAGCGACCATCGTCTGTTATGGCGGCTCATACCATCACCATGGCCGGCGCTTGAGTTCTGGTGGCCAACTAAAGAAGGAGCACAATTTCAGCTGACCTCTTTGGCAAGTAAACACGATCACTTTGTTTGTGTACAAACTGCTGGACAACGAATGTTTTCTCATTGGAGAAAACCAAATTCGGCAGTTCACCACTTTCGGCCAAGCGAAGCAACTTTTCAGCTCTTTTGAGTCTATTTTCTTTCTGCTGCGGTGTAAGTTCTTGCACTTTATGGAATTTCAATGGCTTTACCCCGAGCTCATTTTTCAATATTTGCGGAATGGAATATTGCGATATGTTCAGCTCACGAGCCATTTTTCGGCCACTGCAACGGGAGTTTGGATTAAATCGCTTCTTTACTTTTCGAACAATTTCTGCTGATGTTGCTGTTTTCTTCAGTCCACTTCTTTGACGTCGGGCTACGCTACCAGTATCACGGTAACGAGCGATGGTACGAGACAAAAAAGCTTTATTCACAGTTAAAGGCTTTAATGATAGCCACTTGTGGTTGTACAGAAATAGCACTATCACGATTGAATTCCATCACAATTATCTTTTTTTCTGGAAAATTGTCACCAAAATGCTTTCTTCAAAATTACTTGGTTTTTAGAGACAAATATCCCTCAATAAAGTGTACGAACATAATTGGAAAATATCACTAAGGCATTAAAATACCTTATGTTAGGATGTACCGTAATATGGGCGCTAAACGAAAGCGAAGACCAATTTAAACAATTTTCGGTCAGAGGAGGTGGTACTCATTTCGAAGTCCAAATGCCAAGTTTTAAAAAAATTATTTAAAAAATTTTATTAAAATCACCTATGGGGTGGTATCCTTTTATATGCAAAATGGTTGAAATTTTCAAATATCATTCTGTTAAAAATTTAAGTTTCACTGGAATTCAATGCAAACCCAATGAATTAAATAATTCTCGGAAAAAAAAAAACATTTTTAATTATATTATTTTTAAAATAACTTTTTCAGATGCCGCGATGAAACATATAATATGGACGAGATGCCAACGGCATCAGTAATAATAGTATTCCACAATGAAGCTTGGTCAGTGCTGCTGCGAACAATAACAAGTGTTATCAATCGTACACCGCGAAGAGTTCTGAAGGAAATTATTTTGGTTGATGATGCTAGCGACAGAAGTAAGTTTAGAAATTAAATATTTTTTTAATATCATCCCTAATTCTTTCCACTATTTCCAGGTTATTTGAAAAAGCAATTGGAAAGTTATGTTAAAGTATTGTCGGTACCGACGCGCATTTATCGCATGGCCGAACGTGGAGGACTTGTGCCAGCCCGATTGATGGGTGCCAAACATGCTCGCGGTGATGTCCTCACCTTCCTCGATGCACACTGTGAATGTTCGAGAGGTTGGATAGAACCGTTATTGCATCGCATAAAAGAATCACGTACCACCGTTATTTGTCCCGTTATCGACATTATATCCGATGACAATTTTAGTTATACCAAAACCTTTGAAAATCACTGGGGTGCATTCAATTGGCAGTTGAGTTTTCGTTGGTTTGCCACGGATCGTCCTTCGCTGAGGAAACATCCCACCAAGCCCATAATGACACCTGGCATGGCGGGTGGTCTATTTGCCATAGATCGTAAATACTTTTACGAAGTTGGAGCCTACGATGAAGAAATGAAGGTTAGAATGGTTATGAATTGAAAAACTTGATTTTAAAATGGTTTTCTTTTTCAGATTTGGGGTGGTGAAAATGTGGAAATGTCCTTCCGCATATGGCAATGTGGTGGCAGCATTGAAATTAGTCCCTGCTCCCATGTGGGTCATGTATTCCGTAGCAGTACCCCATACACTTTCCCCGGTGGCATGAGTGAAGTTCTGGGACAAAACTTAGCCCGTGCTGCTATGGTCTGGATGGATGAATGGCAATATTTTACTCTGCTTTATACCGATGGTCTTTCCATGGCTACGCGCCAAAAAGTCGATGTCACCAAACGCCTGGCTTTAAGAGAAAAACTCCAGTGTAAACCATTCTCATGGTATTTAAACACTGTATGGCCAGATCATTTCTTCCCCGCTCCCGATCGATTCTTTGGCAAAATCATTTGGCTAGATGGCGAAACTGAATGTGCTCAGGCATTCTCGAAGTACATGAAAAATATCCCCGGTCGCCGGATTTCTCGTGAATGGCCACGGGTATTTGACGAGATTGAAAATAATGCCGAAGAATTTATGTCACTCATCGATTTGGATAGAGATAAGTGTTTGAGGCCGGCTAAAGAAGATGCTCCCCGCCAAACGGCACAGCCGGTAACAGTCGGTGACTGCAATGCACATTCGCAAACAATGGATATTTTTGTAATAACACCAACGGGCAAGATAATGACAAACAATAATGTTTGTTTGACATATAGCGAGCCGAAACAGAGCACAATAAAGATGTTGAAGAATCGTAATGCAACCACATCGAATGTCCAGTTGGCATTGTGTGCACATGATTCACGTCAATTATGGGATTACGATATGGATGTAAGTATAATGGGCTTTATGGAGGAGGAATATGAGTCTGTTATTTTTATTTGGTTATGATGACAAGAATTGGTCTGTAGGTGTTTTGATGATTTGTATATTTACCATAGATATCTCCAAATGAGGTGTCGGAATTGCGAATTGAATCTATATTTAGAAAAGAATGGTTATTTCAATGTAATAATATTTTAAGTATTATTTGAACTACAAGTCTCCAAAGCATTCAACATGTATTCGTCCTGGATAGTATTATAAAAATTTTTCAGTTTAAATCCCAAGTGATAACGGTAACAAGTGTTGCAGTAACACCATAAATATAGCTATATTTATATTTAAATTGGATGATGCATTGTCGAAGGGAATACAAAATTCAAAAAGCAAGGTTATTTGTAGTCCGCGTCGCTTAAGGGGGTTTTTTATTTAAAGAAGAAATTTTTGTCGCGGACGCCACTAATAGATTGGTTTTGTTTTTAGCTTTAGGACTCGGCGATCTTTCGCTCAATTGCGATTTACGAAGGAAATAACAATAGAAAGAGCGTCGAAAAGAGTTTTGTTTAAACTTTCGTGTCTAAATACACACTGAGATCATAAGTCGAATGTTCCCCCATAGCTCGTAGTCTTCCCCTTAATAGAGCAGGATATTGGCATAAATGTGTTCGATCGTTTCACTCTCTTCTTCCTCCTCATTGAGCCTGGAGTTATCCCATTTGGGCGTTCTTGATCGGATGTTGCAGTGGCCTGTTACTATCCCCATCGTTATCCGTAACCTGGATTTATTCATGCTTAATACAGACTGAATTCTACGCGAGGAGATAACTTGCCAGATTTGTTTTGATACCTTGCACCGTGGTTCGTTGTATCAACATCTTTTGGGTTTCTCCCTGAAGAGTAGTTATAATGCTCTGTTGAAATGACATAATGATAAAATATTATTCACCACGATAAGCCAAGGCAGCGGCGATAAAACGTCTCCTAGCGGTTTTCCTCTTGTTACCGCTTTCATAATGTATTCCTCCTCAATGGTGGAATTAATGATTCTGCTGCTAAGCATTGCATCAATCCAGAATATTAGTGGTTGTGTCCTTACTCAACTTCAGTTTTAGTATTGAATATAATTTTTTGATTTCCGGTTTTCCGAATCTTCCAACATATTTAAAGCCCTACTACATGTTCTACTATCCATTTCCATTTAGTAATTACTCCAGGAATGTTAGGAACTATTAGCAATCGCAAGTTGCGTAAGGAGTCCTAGCAAAAACAGTTGTTTTACCAAAATTTCGATACTGAACTATGCCAAGAAGGTTGAGATCATCGTAGGAGCAACTGTTAGAATGTATTTAAAAAGATTAGTTTAAAGCCGAACTCACAAACACTGTTACTGATCCTAGAGGTTATTCATATAAACCGTTTTTAATTCTGTTATTAATAGCCATTATGTGACGCAATTGCACAGCATGGATTTTTCATTTATTATCGACAATTAAACCAGAACAAAAAAATCAACATAACTAATTTTTGCACATACATTTTGATACTGACAACTAGGCCGAACTAAAACATTGTCTTCAGTACTCTATTATAAACGATATATTATTACTTTTTGTGGAATTCAAAATAATTATTTCTAAACTGTGTTTGGCCGCATCCATGTGTTTTCTATTTTTTTTTTTTTATGTTCAGGAGCTTGGTTATAGTACAACAGAACAGCGATGAATATTTGTTTATATCAAAAAATTGCTTTTAAAATTCAATAATTTTATATTGTTTTTTTTTTTATTCCAGACTCAACATATCACTCACAGAGAAAACAAATTATGCCTAACACTGAAATCTGCTCAGTCAGCACGAACCCACAAATCCGAAAAGGTTGTATTGGCCATCGAATGTGATTTTAAGGACATAACCCAAAAATGGGGTCTTATACCACTGCCATGGAAAATGTAAGAACCTCAATGGGTGGAAACAGAAAATAGAAACTAAACCTTTGTAAATAAGTATAGATGCAAATGAATTTTAGAAACAAATGCAATTAATTATTGTGCAATTAGAGAATAGATACTTTTTATATTTTTAAGTAATACCATTATCCCACAACACTTATTCAAATTTTGAAACACCGACGAATACTAAATGTGATATTTTTTAATTTGAATTTTTTACATAAATAGAATGTACTAAACAATGTGAATGATTGATCGAAAATTTAAATCATCTGTCAAAAAAGGCAATTTCATAAAATTAGTGAATAATTTCCACCGTCGTCGTACTTATGTGAATACGAAAAAGTAAAAAATTAAATAAACAAGTAGAAAAAAATAATCAATACAATAACTAATTTTAATAAAAATATCAAAAGTTTTTAACAAACAACATTTTCAATTATTTACAAAAAAATATCCTTTTAACAACGATAAATAAATTATCACAATCAATCAATTCTAGTTCCTCTATAACAAACGTGAATCCATATATTATTTATTGCAATCATTTAATTTTTAAATCTAACACGTGGGCTTAGAAATCTGGACGATTTATTTCCTTTCAGTTAATTTTCTCAGCTTATGTGTTCGGACTACATTCTTATTAGTTAATCAGGAACTTTTCATGAATGTTGTTCAGATTATAAATTTGAAGAAATCGCTTGAAATTGTCTTTTTCCTTAAAAAATGCCCATCTGAAAATTGCTTAGTTTTAATATTAATTCAAACTATTTTTAGTAAATAGTTTTTTTATACTATTCGAAACTATGTAATAAAAATTCCTTTTAAGTATAACATCCTAAACTTAAGTTGTATTTTATAATTTAATAAATAAAAAGTCTAATGAACTCAATAATGAATGGTGTGTATGCATTTTGGAATCATATTTATTTACTCCGTAATCATCATAGAGGTCGAGACGTACTTTCTTCTTTCGTTCGTTATCACTTCTTTTACTTTTTGCACTGTTATCTCAAAATCCGCATTGTCACTGCTGCTATGATTGGCTAGTCTGTTCGGTAATTAAGAAAACATGTCGAAACGTTCCTACGGCTGTGGAACACAAGACTTTAGTTATTCTTGTGCCCCAGTCCAAGTATCCAGAGATTTTGAAAATGGGAGCATTTTTTAATACGGTTAAGGGATTTGTTTTTGTATTCAATATAATTTGTGTGGTGAGTTTGTAATATCGTACGAATTTCCAAGCACAAAATACGTCGGGTGCACAAGTATAAATTACATCTAACTTTACAGATAAGTAGGTTTTGAATAAAGAATTATTAAAAGATTGATGGCGGAGCCAAGCGATAAGATATTGTTATACGAAAGTAATTTTGACTATCTTCGTGGATTTTTTTAGAACTTTAAAATATTCGGGGCAAACACAAATATTTTTCAGAAATGTTTTTGATACATTGAAACCGTTCACCAGGGCTGAGGAGTTGAGCTACTTTCAGCCGGACTTCAACGTCAGTGCTATATTGATGATTCTGAAACCGTAAACCTAATTTTTTATTCAGTGGACGATGGATTTTCTGGGAGTATTAAGATTTGAGCACACCTCAAGATACACTGGACACCCTACTTTGCTTAAGCCCACTAAACGTACTCGTAGAGAAACAGGCAATTAGGTGTGCACTTAGACTAAACCAATGGCGCAGTCAATTCTTTGGACATTTTGCGATCCTAAGGTGTGAAAGGAATGTGGGAGAGGAAGCCAACACTAGTGATTATATCTCACCACGGTTGTGCTTTGACCCACCTGACATTCACATTCCTGATAGGGACCTGCGGCATAGCTGTCTATACCGACGGTTCAAAGATGGAATGTGGAACGGACGCTGGTGTCTTCTGTGATATTCTTAATGTTCGTGAATCCTACAAGCTTAGAAACGACTGTAGTTTATTCCAGGCGGAAATTCTTGCAGTCAAAAAAGCCATAGACCTGTTGGTCACGAGGAACAACGAGGATAGCAGTCCGGTGACTATACAAGTCTAAGGTTGTTTTGGACTGCAGGAGATTTTTGGAAAATGTCGGATTGTCCATCTAGCTTTGCTGGGTTCCTGGTCATTATAATATTCCAGGCATCGAGACTGCAGACGAATTGGCTAGGCTCCGAATCCACTACTATTGAAGTTGAGAACTCGATCAAACCACCCCTACGCCACTTCCTACAGGTAATTAATAAACACTACTCGGAGATAATTCAACAAAAATGGCTGGACGACGGGATGCAACATCTCCACACTCCCGGAGGAGGGAACAAAGTCGTTGCTGTCATTGTCTAAACCAGACTTAAAACTTGTGGTGGGTATTATCACAGGTCACTGCAAGGAGAGGGTAATGACCTTGAAATGGGGCAGCGATGATATTGACTACTGTAGAAACAGTCAAGACGAAGAGGAAATTGAGAAGATCAAACACAGGTTGGTTGGACAAGTATCACATGATTTGATTCTACCAATTACCCCTTTGTTCTCTAACATTTACCCCTTTGTTCTCTAAACTTACCCATTCAGTTAGCCAGAAGATTTAAGTGGCTAAAGACGACACGGCAAGATCTCTAGCCGTGAATCATCTCATAACTATTTATTAGACCACTAACACCTTACTTTTTTCTACTATTCTTTCATTCTTCCAATTTATTATTAGGATGAACACAATGGGCCAGCAGGTCTCCGAGTGGAGCGGTTGCCAAAAATGCAACCGAGCGTCCCTTAAACTTAACCTAAGATTTGATACAGATTTTAACTGACAACCGATGTGGTCAACTTGTGATTCAGAGGTTTAAAAAAACGAAGCTTCCACAAATTACTTTTTTCTTTTACATAAAAAGCCAGTTTAGGACTTATGACAGAAATCCTGTTTTGTTTTCGATTCGGGCGCCACGATTATGGTTTGTAAATCATCTGTCTTTCTCATCACCTCGAGGCCTGAATAAACTCTCGACTTAGCTGATCATACTGTGTAGCTGTAATACATACTCAGATATTGTCTATAAGAAGTTTTCTGAGAGGCTTTGATTCAAACTGTCTTAGAGATCTCGTTGGAATAACAGGCGTAAATTCTTTCTAATTTCCTAACGAACTAAGGTTTATTTTTATATTTATATTTATCCGTGAATGTGTAAATTCATGTCGTTATTTACGAATTTGATGATATAAAATCTGTAGTTTTTACGGATTATAACAAAAAGTGGACTTGCATTGAATACTGTTTGGGAGGAATAAAACTACACACTGGGAACCCGGTATAACAATTGGGACCAAACCCTGTGAAATACCGAAACTCAGGAATACAGGGATTTTACCTAAATGTGGACCGATATAACCCATTAAAAACAGCAAATGTCTAAGGAGTACATCAGTACAAATATCAAAAAATTTATTTAGTTGTCTTCAAAGTTGTTACCTCAATTTTGACTTTGACAGATAGACGGACAGAGGGGCGGATATCTGTAAATTGATTTATAAATATTTGCTAATCACGAATATTGGTTGTTTATGAGATCTCCGACGAATATTTTGTCGTGTTGCAGGCTGAATGACAAAGTAAATGCCCCCTATTTAACTTTTGAAGGTATAAAAAATAAATCTCATAGAAAGCGAATCCTTCCCATTTTACTTGGTGCGTCCCCTGTCAATTTGTTATTAATAAGAGAAGATTTCTTTTAAAGTTCATAGATAGAGTGGAATAATGATACAGGGACGCCATAAGGAAGACCTAGAGGCTTATACAAAAAATCGTAGACTGGATGTATGTCACAGTTGTCTTACCTGTTCTGATATATGGGTGCCTTGTCTGGTGGCATACGATTTATTTCAGGATACTTATGTCCAAATTAACCACAGAGCAAAGAGCTGCGCTCTCAAGAGCATCCCTCAACCACACTAAATTAACTGCTAAATATAAATAAGTGAAGGTAATAGAGGTAGCGATTACATGTCCTGCGATAACCGAGACGCCTCGGCTGATACTAAACCTCCTCTGAGTGGTCTAGACATTTGCACAAACGGCCCCAATATGGATGAAGGGACCGGTGCTGGAGTAAATAGGGAGGAATCCCTAAGCCAATGATTAAACACTCAATGACAATTGCAGTGTTTTTCAGACAGAACAATCAGAACGCAGCTGAAATGGTAAGAGAAAATTACAATAGCATAACAGGACAAATGCCAATATATGTTGATAGGCTAGATCGAATCATTAAATCGAGAGCTTTGTTAGGTTAAAGGACATATCGACATAGTGGAGAATTAAGCGTCTGAGGTGGTTTCCAGTTGTTTTTGTTGTAGCAGTAGCACACGTGAGTGTTTGCATTCTGCTAATCTGGTTCAAGCTCCAGGTTAAAAAATTCGGCTACTTTAACGGGCTGTAGCCAGAGATCTCTTGGCATGAGTTGGGTAGGTTAAGTTGAGCAATTAAAGAGGTGCAGCGTATTGTGCGGGCCTGTATCACACGCCGGGCAGACGTCACGCATATCTTCTTTAATTCGTGCCCAATACGAACGTGTCCATACTGAACGTAATTGCGCCAAAACTACACTGGTTTGTCTAGGCAGCTGGCGTTCTTCAGCTGCAATGGATGGGGGTTGGGCTCCGAGGACGGCATTCATCCTGTAACTGCTGATAGCATCTGCGACTGCATGGGTATGAATGCCACTCAGACCTGCCCGATAGGCTTCTTTATCTAGAGATTCTCTCGTATAGCGTTGGATCTCCTTCTATAGATCGTGTATGTCTCTCCTGCCCCGCCTGGTTGGGGGAGTTGTATCCACCATATGATGGTTGGGATGACTCTCACGGTAACACCCAAGCAAGTACTGCAACGAAAGCATATGATTATGCTGACGAAAGTGAAGGTGGTTTCCAGTAATTTGTTCTGCCGATTGATGAGACTGTTAAACGGCAAATTTTAATTTCGAGAGGAAAAACAAGTTTTCTTTCATCACTTAGTAGGTCTGATCTAAGAATCGTGGTAGGTACTGACCGACCACTACAGTATTAGATATCTGATCTCGAATGAGACAACAGTGTTTCTGACTAGTGGAGACTATGTGAAGATGAAAATTAGTATGTAATCCAGCAAGAGACCTGGGTAATTTGGCAGGCGAGTGATAGACATAGATACCATCGTCAGTTACATGTTTGCCACGGGCATTACTTGGCCAGACAGACCACCCTGCTGACTGTACCTCTTTCTATAAATCCTTTCTTCACTTTTTCGCTTTTTTTATTCCCAAGAACTTGATTGTTCCTTAATATAATCATATTGAATAATCATACATTGCATCCAAAAAAAAAAAAAAAAAAATAATAAGAAAATTGGATGTTAGGTGTCACAGTTGTCGGCCAAACCGATTGGTACGTTTCAACTTGTTTTACTTATATGTGAGGGCTAAATCAAATAATAATTTTTTTTCAGATAATAGACGTTGCTAATTTAGTAATCGATGGATTGGGTGTGAAATACTCTGCTCCTGGGAGTGATGGCCATGCTTTTTTCATTCTGGGAATTCTGTTATGTGGTTTGCTAATTATGACCACCGTCATCGGCTGTTACGGAGTGTGTAGTGAAATTTTGGGAGTAAATGTAATCGTACGTTTAAGAAAAGAAATTCATTCATTGTCAAATATCTTAAAATGAGAGTTTTTTGTAGTATTCCATTTTTATGCTGTCCCTGCTTATTATAGAATATCTTGAGATTCGTTCTTTTCAACCGCACGGCATTTACTTTCATACCTTGCAAAGTTTGGAAACGGCATGGCGTGTTGTTGGAATAAATCCAGAGCCCATGGATGATATACAAAGACGGGTATGAAACAACAGATCATTCGCTTAATTGAATATACCAT